TTACTATTTTGAATTGTTCCCTGTGCTTTGGCTTCTCTGCGCTCCAGTGCAATTTTCAGAGTCTCTTCTGACATCCATTTTGGTCTTTTCTTCCTCTTCTGTCTTTGCAATGACCGTTTGCACTCTTCCTGGATGATACCCTTGATATCCTCCCACAACTCATCTGGCCTTCGTTCATTAGTGTTCAAAGCCTCCAATCTGTTCCTGAGATGCTTCTGAAATAAGAGTTATACATGGTAAAAACGTCGTAAGAGTTATACATGGTAAAATCACACTCTACCCACTTCTTCCCTGTGATTCTCGTTTCCTTTCATCCTCCTACCTCTTCTTCCCTGCTCTGTCCCTGAATAGATGCTACCCTTTTCATCTCCTGTGCTTGGTTGTTCTAGTGAGTTCCTCCCTGGTGTGATTGGTCATGTTACAGAGTTGTCTATTATTTGGCTGAAAGTTCAGGCATAGGGATGAGGGCCATTACGCCGTGTGGTTCCAACAGTCTCTACCAGACCCTTAAGCCTGGCCTGCTTTTTAAGGGGTTTTAGTTTTGTTCCACATTTCTCCAGGTCTGTATTCGGGACCTTCTGCTGTGGTCCTCTTTGGAGTGGTCAGCATTGGCAGCCAGGCACCACCTACGCTTTCTGGTGTCAGGGTTATCTTTTGATCTCTTGACTGCCTTTGCTCCACGTCAAGTGACTGTGCATTGTGTTGGGTATGTTCCGTGGCGTCTCCCTCCCATTTAAGAAAGAAGCCTTGGGTACATTCATCAGGGCCACCCTCTCAGCGGGAATGCCCAAATAACCAACTAGTCTGTCTCGGAAGACATGCAATGAGAGTGCTCCTTAGAGGCAAGAAGAGGGTGAGACTTGATCGCATGTACTTTGGCATGTGGTGAGGAGGGGCCAGTCCCTGGGAAAAGAACATCCTCCTGAGAGCTGTGGAGGATCCGAGAACGAGAGGAAGACCGTGAACAAGATGGATTGACACGGGGACTGCAGCACAGTGATGTGCAGACTGTAGTCTTGAGCATATCACATAATGAGGAGGCTACAGGACGGGGCGGAGTTCTGATCGCTTCTTCCTAGCGTCCCCGTGAGTTGGACTTGATGGGACAGCACTCAACAGCGTCATCTCTGCTTAATCTGCAATAGTGGACAATGTCTAAAGTTGCTCTATTTTCTCCCCTGCAGGGCAGGTCTTGGATGCTCTCGATGAAATGCAGCTCGCCAACTCCACCTTCATCTACTTCTCCTCTGACCACGGGGCGCACGTGGAGGAACTGTCCCCCCGCGGGGAGGTTCACGGGGGCAGCAATGGCATCTACAAAGGTGAGGTGAGCTCCCCCTGAGCTCCGTGACACTGGGTGCTCTCAGAACACCCCCATGTCCATGTAGGCTTGGCCAGGGCCCAAAGAACTCTACAGATAATAGGAGCAACGTGTCTTCTTTCACTAGTTTTTGAAAACATAGAACTGAGAGAAATGAGACTGATTTTGCATCACGGCAATGCTCCATCAAGTTTCTTTATGGGAGGAAACTACATGTAAAAAGAGCAAAGGGCCAAACAAGGGCAGCACCATATCTTACCTTCACCAACTTCACAGAGGGCCACTGTCCCTGCCCACAGCATCAGAGACACAAAGCCAATTCCTGTGAGGTCAGACATGTCCCCCACACGCCCAAGCATCTTTCCACTCAATACCAATTGTACTGCTTTGTTGGGCCCAGAATTCTATGTGATAACACACAGACCACACAGAACCATGTTGGGGAAGTAAAAAGCTTATAATCCAGATTAATAACAGAATACAATCCAGACAGCTCCCAAGAGTGTGCACACAGGCATCCCAGTCTCGAGCCTCGTGGCTCTAAGTGTTCTCAGGTGCTCAGTCCTGCCAATATTGGCTCCCCCTCCATCATAGTCCAGCAGAGTTTTCTGTCCTGCCAATATTAGCTCCCCTCCACCCCCAGTCCCATCTCACAATTTTCCATCTTCGCCATGCTGCGCCCTGATCATCGGTTTGGGGGAGATCTCTCGTCTTTGGGTGGATGGGAAGAGGTACATCTTTTATGATGAGGCGAGAATTTCTTATCTCTGCAGCTAGAGCTGTTCAGTGTATCGGTGAGACTAGCCAGTCCGCTTTTCATTTGTTGAGACTGGCTAGTCCTCTTGTGGGATGGGAGAGAGCCAATCATTTTGTGAATAAGCCAACACACCGCCTTTGCATAGCCCCGCCTGTCCACGTAGCAACATCAGATAAGAGCTAGAAAAGTCATATTGAAAGGTGGATTCCAAACTCCCCGTCTTTCTCCATCAAGGGGTTATGAACCTCCGACTTTTCAGTTAGCATCCCAGTACGTTATGCACGCTGCCACCCCAGGCTCCCTAGGTACAGCAGACTTTGGCACCAACTCAGCTTTCTCTCCATGTACAGGTCAGGAATGTGGGTTTCACTCTCTGGGCTGTGTAAGCATTCTTACCCTCCTTTGTGAATTATTATTCCTCCCCGTGACTATAAATCCACTGCCTGCTAAGCTTCCTATCTCATCTCTCAAGCCGCTGCAATTCACTCTATCCCACATAGAGTTCTTAAAAAGAGCACCATGCTCAGCCAGACGTTCTGATGTGTTAACAGGCTGCACTGCTAGCCAAGAGTACAGCAGTTCAAATCCTTTGCCTGCTCCGTGAGAGAAAGATCGGCTATCTCCTCCTATAAGGGGAAATTATAGCCTCAGACACTTAAGTAGAAAGAAGGTCCCTGTGAGTCAGCATCTGTTTGATGAATCTTGAATTTCATCTTTATCAAAAGGTTTGAGCATAAAAGAGAAATTGGGTGCAGAATGAATGTCTTCTCAGAGACGCAGCGGTCCAGCAAGCTGAAGAGACACCAATACCTGGCTGGAGACAAGGGTATGATTTACAAGTGACACCCACCAGGGAGAGAGCTCAGATGTACAGGGAAACCCCAAAACCTCAGTCAGGTGGAAACGATGTCTTCTTTTCCTCAAAAGTCTCAAAGTACCTGTGTGTGAATTTTTAGCATCTCCCAAAGTCCTGTAAAATCTGTGGAGTCACTCACTACATGGACGGCCACCACTGAAAGGTTAGAGGTTCAGTTCAACCCACCGCACCTTGAGAGAAAACTCTGGTGATCTAAGTCTGGAAAGCTGTCATTGGAAACCCAACAACACATAATTCTTCCCAGAAGCACACGGGGCCATTGTGAATTGAAATCAGCTAGATGGTAAATCGCTTTGGTTGGGTTTTCCTTTATAGAATTTGTACGTTTACGATGTCACAGGCTCGTGGGGAGGCTCTGGGACTTTTTTTGTTGTTTATTTAGTTATCTTGCTCTTGACAGAAAGCATTCCAGCTCAGTAGGGGAATACTGTCTGACTAATTTTTAGAATCTCTAGAAGACACAGATTCTTACTACTGGGCCAATTGGCAGCATCAGGATGGATGGTGAAGAGATTGAGATTGTTAACAACTTTGGTTTGCTTAGCTCCACAGTCAACACTCTTGGCACCAGCAGCCAGGAAATTAAAAGACGTATTGCACAAAACTAGAAAAGGTGGTATAGCACTGGTCTGTGCGTTGCTGTACAGAGGTAACTCGTGGTTGCTGTGATGCTGAAGCCTGTGACAGTCATGTGCCAATCGTGGTAATGGGTACCCATGGTGGACAGTGTTGGCTGGAGCTTCCCGACTAAATCAAGCCTGGAAGCAGGAGCGGCATCCACTTCCGAAATAGCTAGTCTCCGGAAACTCTATGTATGAACAGTGCTCAGGCTGTTCGTTCATAGGGTCGCTATGAGTCGTCTACGACTCGACGGCATTAAACAACAACAGCAACAACAACAATTGCCATGGGAAAGTCTGCTGTTAGGAACCTCTCTAAAGAACTGAAGAACAGTATTGTCAGTCTGGGGACTAAGGTGTGCCTGAACCAGTCCATGGTTTTCACAATTACTTGCTATGCATCAGAGAGCGGAACAATGACTAGGGATGATGGAAGCACAGTTGATGCGTTTGAGCTGTGGTGCTGGAGAAGAGTATATTGAGTGTACAATGGACTGCTGCTAAGAAAACAAACAGGTTCAGCCTGGAGAGGGTGAAACCAGGCTGCTCCTTGGAGGTAGGGATTCTGAAGCTTCATCTGACATACTTTGGGCATGTTGCAAGGAGGGCCCAATTTTTGGAGAGGCCATCATGCTTGGCAGGGTGGAGGGACAGAGTAGGAGAGGAAGACCCTCTATGAGATGGATTGATTGAATGGCTGGGGTATTGGGGGTAGGTGTGTCAGAGACAACAGTGCATTGATGCATTGGCTGTGGCAGCTCTGGTGATAACAGTGCCAGGGTTGAGTTGTTTCCATGGAGACCGTACCTCACCCGGCTTCTGTGCAGAACTTCACCAATTTACTGTCAGGGCCATTAGAGATTCTTGCCAACCTCTGATGTAGATGATTATATAGATTCCCCTGATGGAGTTGTTGGGAGTGGTCATCATTCATGGTGACCCTGTGTATTACAGAGTCCAGTGTTACTCAGTCCTGTGCCGCCTGCATGAGCCCATTTTTGAGCCCATTGTTGAGGCTGCTCTGTCTGTTCCCTAGCCGGAGGAGTCCTGTCATTGTCACGGACCCCCACATCAAAGTGATGTCCTTCTCCATGGAGTGCTCTTTTCCAGCGACGTGACCACAGCAAATGAGCCATCTTGCCATCCTTATTTCCAAGGAGCATGCCGGTTGTTCATTCTCCAAGACTGGTTTTTTGGTTCTGCCTCCAAAACCAATTTTTTGACAGTCTTTGGTGGTGGTGTGTGCCGTCCAGTTCCCTGCAACACCTAGCGACGCAATGTATGACAGCTCTGAAGCCTGCCGTGTCCTGAGCCAGTCTCACTAACTCTGACACACCAACCCCCATTGCCCCAGTTACTGTATCGGTCCATCTCATCTGGGGTCTTCCTCTCCTGCACTGTCCCTCCAGTCCTTGCAAGCATGAAGCCCTTCCCCAAGGACAGATCCCTCCTGGCCACATGCCCACAGTATGTGGGATGGAGCTTCAAAATCCTAGCCTCCAAGGAGAAGCCTGGTTTCATCCTCTCCAAAAGAGACCTATTTGTTTTCTTGGTGGTCCATGGTATGTCCAAGATTTTTCTCCAGCACCACAGCTCAAAGGCATCGATTCTTCTATCATCCTTAGTCATTGTCCAGCTCTCTTATGCATAGCAAGTCATTGCCAAGCCCATGGCCTGGGTCAGGCACGTCTTAGTACCTGAAAGTTGAAAGTGTTCTTCACTAGCGACATTGTCTGCCCACCCACACCACTGGTTCTTAGGCCTTCAGCGTTCCCGTGGACAGGACACAGATGAAGAGACTCCAGGGCTCTAGTCCGTAGGACGTTGTACTGCTGAGCCCAGAGCTGTGCCTCTTTCATTCAAATCCACTGGAGGTTCTGAGTGTCCAAGATGGGCAGTCTCCTCCCATGAAACTTAGAACCTTGGGGACCCTGCCTAGGATCACCTGTGAGTCGTTTCTGACTCGATGGCAACGAGCTGAGCTTGCATTCTGGCTTGGCTCAGGCACCCTTAGTCTTCAGTGTACCATCTCTACTCTTTTAACACTTTAAAGAGATCTTTGACACACAGTTTGCTTGACCTGTCATCCTTCATTGCTGTCCCTTGGTCGGTGACCACTTACGGGTCTTTTCAATTATTGACTCCCACCATTTGTAGAGTGACCTCAACAGTGGGCTCTAGTGTGTCTGAGATGATGCACACGACACCGGAGAGGGCAGGGTTCATCTGCTGTTTGTACGTGACGGCACCTAACAACAACAGCATCTGAATACCAGCATCAGTAGGTCCTTGTGTTCTTACCCTGAAAACAGGCTGACAGAAGCTTGATAAAACCTTCATGCTAGGCATCCAACCGCCATGTATCATTGGCATGTTTCCGCCACCAGAGCGCATAAATCAGAGGGGATGTAAAAGATGGCATCTTGGATGAGAAACCAATTAATGTGGATTGCACTGCTCACCGTCGTGCGTACGCTCTGAAGCAATTCTGGGAATCGGTTTCCTCCTGGCTGGAGGTGGATGAAGACGCGTGGGAGGAGCCGAATGAGGAATAGCCTCGTTGGTAAAACTCTGTGCGCAAATCCAGTCCAAGAATTGACAGCGTAGGCTCTTCCTGTTAAAAGTCTCCTGACCGGGTCAGAAAAACTGAGACCTAAAGCTATGCAGAACAGTCTACGGTCACTGAGAGGGTGTGTTTGGAATGCGGGTTAACACGTGTGTTTAGATAGGTATTTGCTTGCTTGTTTCATTTCAGTAGCTCTGAGAGGTGGTATAGAGTTGTGCTGCCAACTCAAAGGTGTGTGGTTCGAATTTACCAGCTGCTACACAGGAGAAGGATGGGCAATCCCCCTGCAATTTACTGCCTCTGAAAAATCCACTGGAAGGTCAGCTAGGAGATCGTCCGACCATGATGGTGCACAACAACAACAACAAATATTGTTAACTGTTGACTGAAAATAAGAGGAAGATGAATGGACCCCAGTGACTACATCAATGAGCTTAAGAACAAGAGATTGTGAAGAAGGCACTGGTTTCCATCTGTTGTTCAAAAGGATATTATGAGTCAGGCGTTCACTCCACGGGACCTAACAGCCACATACTAGTGCTTATAAAATGACAGCTTCCTTGAATTTTCGAACGTATTTTCAAATGTTCCATATAGGTTGCCTCATTTGAATATAATAGCTTGTTTGCATTAAAAAAAAAGGCTGCTCACCTGCTGCTTGGCAGTTTTCCAGAGGACAGAAGTAGAAGCCCATATAGGGAACAGCTGCTCCGATGAGGGTCTTGGGGTGCCTCGGGCAAGCTCCTCTCGCTTGGAGAGATGGGCCAGCTAGGCCATCATTCTTCTACAACGTCCTGTCCCGACAGCATGCCAGCAAACTGATGGAACTGTACATTTGACAGTTTCTCTCCTGAGTCTTAGATTTAGAGCGAGCCTTTCTCTCTACTCGTAAAATACCCCCGGGGGAAAAAATTATTCCTGAAAATGAAATTTAAAAATAATTATTTAAAATTTCTTTGTTGATCCTCCAGCCTCCTCATTCTCAAGTTGGAACCAACTCCTAGCTGACCCTTCATCGGGTTTCTGGAGGCTGTCAGTTGCACTGGAAGAGATTGCCCATCTTTCTTCCAAGGAGAATCTGGTGGATTCAAACCACGTATCTTTGGGTTTAGCACACAACTCCTTAACTCTGTAAGTCAGCAGAGTGTCCAGATTGAGTGGAGTGGAGGCGAATTTCGTTAAGTTGGGTAGTTGTTGTTGTTGTTATGTGCCGTTGAGTCGTTTGCGACTCATAGCGACCCTATGTACAACAGTCCTAAACCCCGCTCTATCCTGTGCCAGTCGCATTGCCTCTGACACACCCATCCCGATTACCCCAGTCATTGAATCAATCCACCTCATAGAGGGCCTTCCTCTCCTGCTCTGTTCCTCCACCCTCCCAAGCATGACGTCCCTCTCTAAAGACCTGTCTCTCCTTGCAACATGTCCAAAGTATGTCAGGCAAAGCCCCAGAATCCTTGCCTCCAAGGAGTAGTCTGGTTTAACCCTCTCTAGGATGAATCTTGTTTGTTTTCTTGGCAGTCCAGGGTATATTCAATACGCTTCTCCAGCACCACAGCTCAAAAGCGTCAATTTTTTCTGGCAACTGAGCTGTCATTCTGTTAGCACCCTGACTCGGGGGCGGGTGTCCCAGGTCAAAGCAGTGTTCTGTGCTTTTCACTGGTGACCAGAGGGCTCTGTGGGCCTCTCTGAGCCATCTTTGAGACTCTAGGATTAAGTTTCTATAGGATGGAGTTGACTGTGCTTATGTCTATATGCCTCGCTGTGTGGTTCTGACACCACTAGCTTTTGACAGCTTGCATGCTACTGTGATGCTGAGAGCTCGGTGTATTGCAACAGCAGTAGGATCACCCATGGTGGACAGGTTTCCATAAACAGCTTTCAGACAAAGGAAGAGGGGCCTGACCAACTGCTTAAGACAATCAGCCAGTGAAAACTGTACTGAGTCTCGTCTGGTACAGTGCAGGAAGACGGATATCCCAGGTTGAGATGCCACAGCATTGGGCAAGCCCATCCTGACAACATGCTCCAAGAATGTGAGGAGTCTCAGCAGCCTTGCATAGGTGAATAAGTCTGTAGAAAAGCCGTGGTGTTGCAACAGGTGGTTTTTTGCAGCCTTCACCTGAAGGGCTTTCTGTTGCAGTTACGCAGAATTGCTCGGGGCTGCACCCAGCAGAGCCAGCCAGGCTGTAGCTCACACATTGAGATTCCGCTCACGGCCCTGCCTCTGACAGCTTGCATGAATTCTGGCAAATTAGTTAAACCTTCCATTTCTGGGATGTGATGGCTGCAAAGCAAGAATAATGATGTTTGCCAGATAAGCACCTCGAGGTGAGGGTGGAAAGAGATATAGAAAGGGGAAGAGCTTGAACTTTTTAAGGAGAGCATTGGAGAATGTTGTACACTCCTCTGTGAACTCTCCCGAAGAGTCTGTGCATTAAACAAAAACAAACAAACCAAAAAACCCCACCAATTCCCATGAGCGTGTGCAGTTGATAGCTCCCGCCTGGTAAATGAATTCAGTGGACAGTCCACAGCTCTCCGGAATTACCTTTAAGAAATGATAAATTGCTTCAATGTGACTTGCCTAGAGCTGAAGACGTCTGTTCCTTTAGAAGAAAAAAGTAGTGTGTGGCACAGTGCTTGTGTCCTGTATAGTATTGGGGGTTTGTGTCTGTATGGGATTCCTGCACACCTCGTGGTTGGGAAGTACTGCCTGTCCGCAGCAGAACCACAAATGAATATTCTTCTGTTTCCCTCTAATCTCCCTCCTTTCTCATGCACTCTCCTTTAACTTTCCGTTCCTCTGTCTTTCCCCACCATCACCGTTATCAGATAGACATTATTTTCGCCTCACATCCCAGAAATAGAAAGGTTAACTCATTTGCCAAAAATCTATGCAGCTGTCAGAGGCAGTGCTGTAACTCTCTCGTCTCCCACAGAGGACGTTTTCAAGAATTTATTTACTCGTGGGTCTTCATTTCCTGAGCCAGTTAGTTACTTAGCTACACAGTGACCTCAGGGGGTCCCAAGTAAAAATTTGGGGAATATAGCCAGGCAATAGATTCGGGGAGTCCTCTGGCCTCAACTAGATTAGCAGGTCTGGAATATTTTGGAAATAATTTTGCATTCTGATCCACATGACTCTCCTCCCGTCCCCATATGCCAGGATCTGTCCCTTTTGGGTCTGAACAGTAGGGAGTGATCCTGGGCCCAAATCTAGGATGGCTGATCTAGGGGAAGACCCTCTCTCTTGGTTCTGGGAAAGGGAGCTTGTTTCTTCCAGCATCTGTAGGCCTGACTTTCCTTGGACCTCTGCATCCTGGCTTTCCCTGGGCTCAAGGAGCTTCCTAGTGTGGGGGCCTGGGTCCAAAACAAAACGCTCCACTCTTGGCGATTCTCTCCTCGTGCTACTGAGATCCCCTCCCCACCACAACCCACTTTCCCCTCTGATCCTACAAGCCATATGTGGGAAGCTTTCCTCGCCAGCATAAGATTAAGGGGAGTTGCATCCACCCCCAATCGTCTTGCACTTTTTTTGATTTATCAGTTCCTGGAAGGATGATAACAACTGGTCCAACATAGGTATATTGGAGGACACAGCTTGATCAGACCTCCTCTGGGCATGTAGCCACTTCCCTCCATGTCGTAAAAGGAGCTGAGCCCAGAGGAGATCAACATCCTCTTCTGTCCTCTCTTGAACCCTTTAGGTGGAAAGGCCAACAACTGGGAAGGAGGCATCCGCGTCCCAGGCATCGTCCGGTGGCCCGGTGTGATACAGGCTGGACAGGAGATAGACGAGCCCACCAGCAACATGGACGTCTTCCCCACGGTGGTCAAGCTGGCTGGTGCCCCACTGCCTGACGACAGGTACTGAGAGCCCCCAGTTGTCTGCTCTGATTGGCCCTGAGAAGGTGCCCTGTGGCCAGTTATGGGTGGGCCTGACGGCTGTGTTAAACTTCTGACACACGCCTCAGAGAAGAATTACACTGCGTAGGGTTTTGGTTTTGTTTTTAACTTTTTACAGGGATGTGGATGAGCTGTGGCCAAGCAGATCGACTTTCCATTTAACACTCCGTACACCGTTTGTTTTCTGACATTGACTGCAGTGCCTTCTGTGTGGAGGCACACTTCCCCCTCCTGGCCTGTGTTTCCCATTTCCATTCACCCTCTGGCCTCACCCTCCCTGCTTTCTCCCTGAGCATATGCTACCCATATGTGCTCCTATCTGATAGATTGTTCGAAGGAATGAGTATTCTCTGGTGCTGTCGCTCACTTTAAAAGACTGTAAGTTTTACTGACTGTTGATGCCCTGGGGGCCAGGCGTGGGGTCAGTTCCATTCTGGACTTGAGGAATATCTCACACCCACAGTCCCCAGTGGTTCCCTTATGTTCTAGCAGACCAGAAAGCCTGGTCTTTTTTTATGTTAAGTTTTGTTCCACGTTTCCTCCCACCCTGTGTAGAACCTCCTATTGGGATCTGTTTCAGAGCAGGGCACCATCTAGTTCTTCAGATCTCCGTGTCCCGCTGTCTTGAGTTTTCTCTGCACCATTTTCAGGGGATGCATTTAGCATGCAAATCACCAGGACTTTTTTCTAAGGGGCTCTGAGTGAACTCAGACCTCCCACTGGTGGGTTATCAGCCATGCTCTTTAACCATTTGCCCCACCCTGGGACCACCTATTGTTGTGGTTACTTGTCAAGTTGATGGCGGCTGACCAGTTTTCTCCCTGGAGGTGAGGATTTTGAAGCTTGATCAGACCTCCTCTGGGCATGTAGCCAGGAGGGTCCAGTCTTTGGAGAGGGACATCATGTTTGGAATGGAGGAGGGACAGCTCAAGAGAGGAAGACCCTGAATGAGATGGATTTGGGGAATGGGGGTAAGTGTGTCAGAGACAGTGAGAGTGGCTCAGAATAGAGCTGGGCTCAAAGATACTGTGCATAGCTTGTCTCTGAATCATAGCAGACTCTTGATTGCACAAAGCAACAATGTAGGACCAGTCCTACTCTTGTTAAATTTTTTCTTTCTTTTTTTCCCCTTCACATTTCTCCTCTGGGGTCTTGCTCTGTGTTCTGTTTGCAGATGGCCAGCAGTGATACTGGGCAGCGTTCAATTCTTCTGGTCACATGGTCATGGTAGTTAAAGTTCATAAGACACACAAGCGCTTGAATCCTTTGTTTGCTTTTCTTCTCTTTGACACTGGCCAGGTGAGAGGAGCAGCAGCGTGGACAGGACAGCCATGCTCACTGGGCCTTCACACTTCAGTGGGCTGCTCCCCTGGCCTCCCCCACGGTCTGGACCGTGTCTGCTCACTGGGTCAGCGGCTGGGCTGGCCTCTCTGGCCCTCTTTGTTTAAATGGCCAGCATTTTAGGTGCAAGTGGGAAGGCAGGCAGCTGCCCATTCCAAGGCCCTGTTTGCCAGCCCCTCTTCATGGAGCCGGTCGTAAATAGAACGTCCCTTAAAATACACTGTCGTGTGACATTGCCAGGGGCTGCTGCTTAAGTGTTCTTACCAGACTGAAGGGTTTGAAGGGAAGCCTGCTGATTAATTGTTTTCATTAGCTTGGTGGCAGGCCAGGCGTGCTGACTGCCAGGCAGGCAGCTGCAGATCCAGTGAACGTAGCAGGGCTTAGGGGAGCCAGGGCCACCAGCACCCCACAACAAGCCATGGGAGTCCAATCTGTTCCTGGGGTTCTCACGTACCATTGCTCCGTGCAGGTCTCATCTCATGGCTTGTCTGTGCCCTCTCGTTTTCCAGAGCCAGTTCCACTGTGTGCCTTTTGCTTTCCAGTATCTGCTTTGGAAATTGGCCTCCTCTTCCTCCTCCCAGACGCTCAGGAGCCCTGACAGCATAGGGGTTTAAGCATTTGACTCTTAGAGGAAAGGTTGGCGATTCGAGCCCACGCATGGGAGCAAGATGTAGCTGTCTACTTCTGTAAAGATTTATAGCCTTGGAAACCCTATGGATCACTTAGCCTCTAGCCCCTAGGATGGCACTGGGCGTTGGAACTGACTTGGTGACAGTGGGGTGGGTAGTGGGTAAAGTTTCACTCACTGTGAGATTTATTCTCAGGAGGGCTGAGTTCCTAGAGGAGGACATCATGCTTGGGTAAGATGGTCAGAAAAAAAAATATAAAAAAGGCCCTCCCTCAATGACATGTGTCAACGGGGTCATTCCAGCAGTGAGCTTTAAACACAACTCACTGTGGGAGGGTTTTGAGGACGTGTGAGAGATGAGGGTGGCAGCACAGGAGAGGACAGAGATCAGATCTGTTGTTCATAGGATCGCTGTTGAGTCATCCGCAACGCGATGACACCTAACAGCAACAGCAGCATCGATATACAGGGCGCTCCGGTGGCCCCGTGGTCAGAAGCTTCACTGCGATCTCAAAGGCGTGTGGTTCGAGTCTGCCATCTGCTCCTTGGGAAACAGATGGGTAATCTCCTCCCGTGTGACTTACTGGCTCTGAAAACTCGCCAGAGAGTCTGCTATGCCTCAGAGAGAGAGAGAGAAGAGAGGAGAGAGAAGAGAGAGTGACTTACCTATTCCTACTATTATTGATCAAAAGTGGATGACTGAATTATGGTTAGATCTCTGAAGAAAACAAACATACAGCTCTCCTGTTGAGCTGATAGGCAGAGAGGTGGTGGTGGTGAATTAAAAAGAATTCAGATCACAGCAAAGCAAAGCTGCCCGTTTCCATCAGATTGCTGCGAGCCTTGGCCATCCTGTGACACCAAAAAGAACTTCCGAATCAGGTCATCGAGGCCGTGCCCTGGATGAGAGCGGGGAGGATGGGATTTGTAGAGCCCTGGGAAGCTGTGGGATCAGCTCCATCCAGTGGCTGCCCCTCAACGTCTCGCTGTCCATTTTGCTAGTGACCAGGGAGCCCTGCAGATGGTCCATCTCATGCTGGCCGATGCGGGCTGCCCACCACTTGTTTGTCACACCACCTGCTCTCTTCTTGGTTCCAACCCTGAGATCCACACAGCCTGGAAGCAAGGCACACAGGCCTGGGGACGAGAGCATCACTGCCCTCCAGGAGGGTGACCAGGAGGCTGTCCAGCACCTGCAGGCTTGGGTCCATGAACACGCATGGGAGAAAAGGCCCCACGTGCTTCATGGAGCAGAGGCATGGAAAGCACCTCAGAAACTCCTGGGCCCACAATTGGAGCCCCCGTCAGAGTCAGCACTCCATCACGTGCACCCCTGTGCTGGCTGCAGTTACCCCACAACCAGGGGGCCCCCTCTTGAGCAGCTTTGGTGGTCCCAGCACCAGCCCCCTCATGTAGACTAGGAGTGTGCTGGGCCCTCAGGGTCACGTGTTGTGTGGCCGTGGAGCTGCCCACCCGGACAGCCACCAGCATGGCTCCTCATGGCACCTCTGGTCTCAAACCTTGGCACACCTGCAGGGACCCCCTGCCCCTCATTTGCGGTTCATTCACGACCTGCGTGTGTGGGAGAAGGGCTGGTGAGGTGCTGGATATTTACAAAAAACCCTCAACTGGGAAACTTGCTCTGCGTTTGAGGCACTCGGCTGCAGACTGTGTCCACCAGTTCAAAAGCAGCTCAATTATGTGCCTTGAAAGGCAGATCAAATAAAAACCCAATGCTCTCAAGATTTGCAGGCTTCCTTCTCATGGGGTTAAAAAAAAATCATCTGTGCAGCTGAAGGTGCTGACTGAAGAGCTTGGCACAGGTAGCGAACCCAGAGCAGACACTCATCCAAGCCATGCTGCTATGGGACCCCATGAGCCTAACTCCAGGCTTCCCTTTGGCTCCTGCCCGTCACTTTTGGTTTGGACTGCTGACTGACAAGGCAACTTAGACAGCCTGCTGGTGCGATTCTGTACAGCTTTCAGGGCTGCCATGAGCAGGGGTGGGTTCCAGCAGGGGGTGCATGCCTCCTGAAGTGAGCATGCTTTCTCGTTCTGCTGGGTCATTGGAACGTCCTTGCTGCTGACATGCCTCTTCCGGTCCC